GGAAAAGAGAGTGAGGGTGTTCAAGGTGATATGAGGGGAATTGGCACAGGAGTGGCTGAATCTTCACCTACTCCTATTGGTTTGACTAAAGAAACAAGAGTTATGGTAGTGTGGAGAGAGGAATCTACTGGAGAGGAAAAACGTTTGAGAGAAAAAAAGGGGTAGTGGGTCTGGAGAAGCTACTGAGGGGTTGGTTAGGATGGGGAAGAATGTTCAAAAATCTGTTCCATCAGTACAGGAAGCCCTCAAAGACCTACTGAAACGCGTGTCTGACAGCTATAATCCAAAAAGGAAGAAGAGTTCAGGAGTTTAAATCCCTGGAACTGCTAGGGAAAACAAGAAGAGAAAGGATTCCTCTTCTATCCCTATAGAGATTCCTCCCACAAGAGGAAGAGCTACAAGAAGTCAAAAGAAGCAGAGTGAGGCTGAACTTGAAAAGGCCTTGAAAGAAAGCAAAAGAAAAGTTGCTGCAAAGGGAAAGAGGAAAGTGAGTGAGCCTATTGAGGCAGTTTAAATTGAGGAGATGGTCCTTCATGATGAAGAGGAGGCAGAAGAGGTGGAGGTTGTGATTCCAAAGGCAAAGAAAATAAAGACTTCCAAAAAGAAGTCTCCTTCGAAGACAAAGTTTGCAGAACCTTCTACCTTGGCAAAAAGAACCAGGTCTGCCATGAAGTTTAGAAAAGTGAAAGTAGTAGAGGAAGAAGAGAGTGAAGAAGAAGAGGAATCTGATGAAGAGCAGGACAAGAGGGTTAATTTTTGGAAAAGAACGAACTTGAAGGGTAGACTCCTCAGGGACTTGGAGGAGGAAGGCATGATGATGCTGCTGGAAAAACTACAACTGCAGGTTTGGAAGGACATGGTGCTTCAGATGGATGGAAAGCTTGCCAGAACTGAGATTGTGGAGTTCATAAAAAATTGTGAGATAAAAAATGACAGAGACACCAGTGTCGTAAAAGGGGTGACTGTGAGCTTTGATGACAAGGAATTGGGAGAAATTCTGGGAGTACCTGCTGAAGGGTACAATGATTACAAAAAGTTAAAATGACCAAGCCTAAAAGACCTCCCCACCTCACTTGCCATTACAAGGAAGTTTGCTAACAATGAGGAAGAGCTTCAGCCCAAGGCTGTATACAAAAGTAAGATGAAGCCACCCCACAAAGTGTTGTTTGAATTTGTTAACAAGGTTGTGCTGCCCAGGCAGGAAAAAAAGGGCACATTTTCACATTCATGGACCTGGTCCTTGTGGAATACCTAGATAGTGGGAGGCAGATCAATTGGCCTGGGTATATCATCCAGCTTCTTGATAGGGTTCTAACTGGAACCAAAACTCATGGCATACCCTATGGTTTCATTCTCACGGATGTACTAGCTCATTTCAAGGTACCCCTCAAGAAATAGGATGTTGGTACAAGCAAGGATCATTTTGGAGCAAACACCTTGACTACTTGTGACTATGAATTTCATGTTGTTGCTAAAGAATCTGGTTTATCCAAGATGGTGCCTGTGAACAGCAAAGTAAGAGCCTTGGTGTAAGAGAGTGGGGCTAAGGATGTTGAGATTGAGAGGCTGAAGAAGAGGTTGGCTGAAGTAAAAACTGAAAGGCATGCTCTCAAGGCTGAGCTTGCAAAGGAGAAGGAGAAGAATGAAGGCATTCTTCAAGATATGCTAAAGCTACTTCAGGCTAGAAACCAAGAACCTGGTTCTTCCCAGCCTTGAAACCTTCCTAACCTAGTTAGACAAACCAGTGACCCGAATGGAATTTTATTTTATTCTTTTTGCCCATGATCCAATATATTTATTTTTCTTTATGCTTTGTGGATGACTAGTATCAATGCTAATCAACTGTTATTGTGCTTTAACTGTTTGTTGATGCTTCTTAGATAGCTAATATCATTAAATTGATATATGATGCTTGACCTCATGATTGCATTTGAAGTAGCCTCAGTGGCCATGAGTGATATATATATTAAAATATGGTTATTTAACATAATTATGCAACTTTTCGATGATGCCAAAAGGGGAAAGATATGTTGTGCTTTTTAATTTGGACTGTGATGTTTATAACCTAATGAACCTTGTCCTTGATGATTTGTGACTTTAAAAAGAAAAGTGTTCTAACATTGTATTGATGTTGAGCTGAATTGAAATAGGGCTTATGCTTATGAAAAGCACAGAGTTTGTCATCATCAAAAAGGGGAATTTGTTGGTCTAAGTGAAGTTTGTTTTGATGATTGACAAAGAAACTCAAGCATGAACCAGGTTCATACACAGTGTACACAGATACGGGCAGATTCAAGCACAAGGCATGCTCGTGAAGGAGATAAGCTTAAGTGGTTATATCTGATATCTCCTGAACGAAAATGGTGCATAAGTGATAAGGAGAAGAACTCCTTACTTGAAGAGAACTCTATCCTAGATAAGAGAGGAGTTAGAAGTTGAAGATAACTAGAACTCTTCCACCAAAGAAGAGTAAAGCATTAGACTTCTAGTTAATTCCTATTCTACTAACTCTATATATTTCAGGATGTTCTCATTTTATCTATACGCACAAACGCTGAAGTTAAACGTGAGTGGAGAGCAAAATAGCAAGGCATTTTGCAAGCAATTCTGGTGTGATTCAAGTGTACGAACCTGAAGCTACATGAACCAAATTGAGGAATCAGTTCCAAGTGTCTGTCTTTTATTTTAGTTTCATTGTAGTAGGGCTTTTGAGTTGTACATTTCAGCTTTATCTAGAAGCAATTGTACTAGGTACTTTGAGTGAAGTATTCAAGTTAGAGTTAACTTGAAGTTGTCGCAGCAGCTAGAGGTTGGTTGCCACAAAGGGTTAGAGGTAATCATTAGGTTTACAAAGAGTTTTGTAAATGCTGTTTTTGGCTCAGTGATTTAGTGAAGTGTTGGGAAAAATCCTACTAGGTAGTAGGTCGTGGTTGTTTCACCTTTTGAGCCACGTGTTTTTCACGTAAAATACTTGTGTTCTTTACTTTCCGCATTTATTATTCCGCAATAGTAGTATAAGGAACACATAGAAAAACCAGGTTCTTCCACTACTAGAAATTCGGCAAAAACCGACCGACTTTGGTCAATCAAAAAACCGACCAAAAAATCGACCAAAGTTGGTCGGTTTTTCAAAATATTTTATTTTTTAATTTTATTTTTACGAAACCGACCAACTTTGGTCGGTTTTATTTAGCGCAAAAATGCGAGAAACTATTTTTGAGTCCCGCAAAATTTATTTTTCAAGAAACTGACCAACTTTGGTAGGTTTTTCAATTAAAATAAATAAAAATTAATATTAAAATAACCGACCAAAATTGGTCGGTTAATTCGGCCGGTCATTTAAAAAAACCGACCAACTTTGGTCGGTAATTTTACTTTTTAATAAAACCGACCAACTTTGGTCGGTTATTTTCGTGCGAAAATACAATTAAAGAGTATAAATCAAATAAAAGACAGTCTTAAAACAAAATGCACCAATGGTCTAGTGGTAGAATAGTATCCTGCCACAGTATAGATCCCGGTTCGATTCCCAGATGGTGAATCTTTTGATTACATAATTAAAATACCGACCAACTTTGGTCGGAAAAAACCGACCGACTTTGGTTGGGTTTTTTTGTAATATTTTTTTTTTGAATTTAATTGACCGACCAAAGTTGGTCGGTAATTTTCGACCAACTTTGGTCGGTAATTTTCGACTAACTTTGGTCGGTATTCCTTTTCGACCCCTAAAATACCGTTCACACGTAAATGGTCGCGTTTTGGTCGGTTATTGGCCATTACCGACCAACGTTGGTCGGTTTTTTTGGTCAGTTTTTACCGAATTTCTAGTAGTGTTCTATATATGTTGAGCGACTTTGAATACGACCCATTGTTCAACATATATATCTTGATCCATGCAAAATTTGACTGAATTGGATAATGATTCATTTCGTTGTGCTAACCCAATTAACTATCCAATATGACCCAACCCGTCTATTAACACCTAATGCGAGTGTCAACTTAGCATTTTATTTCTTCTAATTAAAGAAAAATTATTATTATTATGTCTGTTGTTTAATATACTTCATTTCCAGAAATTAGACTAAACTAAATGATTTTGTCCTGTTTTTATTCTAATTATAATTATAATGCCGACGATTCTGGCTCTGTTAAAGGTATAATAGAATAGATCAAGCAGTGGAAGTTAATCACTAATATGAATATGAAAGGTAAGGAATTAAGATTAGGTAGAAATAACATGCCTGATGAGCTTCAAAGATGAGTCTCGAAACAGTATTCCATCAACCCAAATGCCATTGCTTACTAATTAGTACCAATGAACTCTTTTTCTTTGTCCCTCTTAACATGATCAAGCTTATTAATTTCTAATCTTCTTTTCTATCTAACACCAACCCTTTGTGAAACCACAGATTTGGCATCGTTAAATGCCTGTCCCACTAGCTAATAAATTCTTTCTTCTCCCACAAATCTTTTCCTTCTTTTTTAATGGGAAGTTGGGATATATATACTATTTATAATAATAGAAGAATTAGAGAAGCAGTACTCTTCCACCGTTCCCACGTCAAAGCAAAATTACAAGTGGAAATATAGCCATCAACAACATCCTATAGTGATGACACCTAGCAAGTTATTTTCAACTATCTCTTTGTTAATTCTCCCTTGCTAAGCTTGCCAGTGGTGAATTTGGTTTACTAATCTCATCAAACCTTATACCCGGGCTACTAATACAAGTTTTTAAACCAATTAACATAATTAATTCAACTCCCTAAAAATTACATAAATAAATAAAATAAACACGAAATAGTGTAGGATTATTTTAAATCGTGATGGCCAGAAACAGGAGTTTAACCAAAGATAAACAAGTCAAGGATGAAATATAGTCTCGCTATTACGTTACTTCATGTTGTATGTGCGTGAGTATATATAATAAACAAATTAATAAGTACTAGTCAATGTACAGGAATATTATGTTTATATAAATAAAAAATATGATACTCCAGTATTGTTTTATTGCATCATATTCATATTCATGTGGTAAGCAAAAAGGTATAGAACAAGCAATTCTAAAACAGGGTTAAAGCCATCATATTCGGCTTGAATCTCTTCCGAAAATGTATCTTCTTGTCCAGTCCCAGACCACTAGGATCCTTGTACGCCAGCTAACTTGCTTGCTGAAATGCCAAATATTGTCACCACATTTTAGACACTTGAAAAAAAATATTACGGGCGGAGCGAGAGATTTAAGTGTGTGGGTTCTAAATTTTAAAATAAAACATTGCTTCCAGGGAGAATCGAAACCCCATCTTTTCCAGCGAACCCACAACCCTTACCATTGAACCAAGACCCCTTTTGTTACTGGGTTCGGCAGTATATATTTATATAGATTTAGTAAATATTTCAATACAAATACAGGGTTCCGGAAAAAGTCACTGGGTTCGCCCGAACCCGCACCCACTACTGTAGCTCCGCCCCTGCGTGAACCAATTATTAAATAATATTCATGAAAGCTGTGAATATTTATTCACCTTGCATATACAGAATACCAGAGCCACTGTGTGCTACGACCCATTGAAACCCAGTCTCCTGGAAGTTCTGCTGCTGCTTGCTCCCCACCTAATGGTGCAAATTGCCCTAAATGTCGATACCTGAAATTGAACAATATTATTGACATGTCAATTACCTTGGATCCGAGAGAGAGGTAATGAGGCCATTTTTTAGATCAATTAAGTAAGAGGTGGACTAAGGATTTTAAGTCAGTGGACTAAGGATTTTGAAATTGGGGTGCGCATAAACTCACACATTTTAATTGATTGCAAGTACCTGTTAGACAACTTGGATAGGTCATGCCTATACCACATTTACAGGGAGGAAAATCAACTCACTGATTGCCTAGCTAGAAGAAGCCCAGAGAACAATATTTTTAAAGATGTTTTGTATTATGATTTTCTGCCCTTCTTTGCTGAGGAACTTGTGTAACAGACTTATAAGGTACAAATTAAAATTTACTAGAATAGTCCTTCACGTAATAAAGATCAGCGCAGTGCACAAAGTATCCCACGTCCATCCAGGATCCAGGGAAGGACCGTACCCCAAGGGGTGTAATGTAGACAACCTACCCTACATTTAACATGATGCATATATGACAGTATAATTTTTGGAACAAAAAAGAGAAGTCTTGGATCATGCTAGTGTGAGCAAGCCATACCGGAAGGGTAAAAATGCATGACGCCCCGCACTTCCAAAGAGGCGCGGGCCTTCAGGCTTAGCGTTGCATTGCTCCCAACGGTTAAAGCAGCTGGCAAGATACGAACCTTGTTGAGCAGCAACCTAGCTAGCACGTGAAAAAAACAATGAAACTGATAGCAACTAATGACGTAAAACAAAAGGAATGGTCCTCGCGTTCCCTTTGACTATGGGAAAACATTAGGATGTCATCAATGGATACAATTACGAACATATATATACCTGAGCAGTAGCAGGTAGACTCTTCATTTGGGAATCTACATGAGAAAGAGCTAACTTAAACCCTTCAATATCTACCTCCTCTCTTTCATTTCCCTCTGAATCCTTGAATAACTCTGTTACTTCAAATAACTGATTGCTCTTCAGATACAACTCCACTTGAGGATATCGGATGATTATGTCTTCCAAAACATCTTGAAATTCTTCTATAGTTAAGGTTCCAGAATGATCCGTATCCGCAGCTTCAAAAATGGTTGAAATATCTTCCTGAACCACATAGTGACACACAAAAATGCAAAATGAAGACATGTCAATATCATGAATCTAGCAAATATTAACTGCTGTGCTAGCAGAAGAAAGTAGAGGATACCCAGATCAGAACCAAGTAGCGGACCTCCTCGCGAAGGGAGGTGCAAAAAGGAAGCTGTTTGACACAGACCACACTCTTTTGTAGTTCCTACTATGTTGGCCGCAAATGCTAAATGGGCAGACATCCTAGGAACTATTTTTTAAAGAACTACATTGGCTTGTAATAGTAGTAGTAACTTAGTTTACAATGCTACATTACCAGGAAGCAGTGCTCCTACGCTACTGTAATTTAGTTACATATATATATACACACATAAGTATCCAGTTAACCGGGGAAAAAAGGTAAAAGGATATAATTTGTTGGAACTAAACTATATTGAAATTTATGACTGTGTTTTACATATTCATGAAAGTCATTTATCATAAAAGAAGAAAAAACAGAGCTGGGGAATAAATATCATGTAGATTAAGATATCCTGAAATACTCATAAGTACTTGGTCAAGGCTTGCATACCATAATTTTACGTTGATCTACAGTGGCACAATCACCAATAGCATACACATCAGGACAACCCGTTACTCGCAACCATTCATCAGTTGCTAGAATCCATCTCTTTCCCTGCCAAAGAAACAGGTAAAAAAAAACACATATATGGTCATGATTAAGTGGTCTTGCACTTTTGCCAAGGTATAAGGATGTGTGTAACGGATCCCAATGTGGTCCGACTCTTTCTGGGAGCATAGCTGAAGCTTAGTGCATCGGGTTGCTATTTTGAGCCTCTATTGGAGCTTAATTGACAAAACAGTCAATGGTGCAAACTGCAAACACACCTGGCCAATTTGTTCCATGAAATCCTTCACAAAAGGGCGAGTACCAACTCCAGTTGACCATACAACCATCCCATGAGGTACAACATCATATTCTCCTGTTGATTTTACTTTCATGTTAACTGAATGTTCAGAAACACTAACGACACGGCAACCTGTCAAAACCTCAATTCCATCTCTTTGAAACTTCTGTTCAGCAAATGAGCTAATTCTTTCATCAAACCTATAGTCAAGACATTATATATGATCTCTAATAAGTTGTCCAATATAGGAATAATCTCATTTTTTTGAAATTGACACTTGAGTTTGTGAAATCTTACGTGTTCAGGATATGATCTCCAGATTGGATGACCGTTATCTTCACTAGATCCTTAACTGAAGGGTATAATTTTACCAAATCTTCATGAACAAAGTCATGTAACTCTGCTGCAAATTCCACTCCAGTTGGACCCCCTCCAACTATAACAAAATGGAGGTTGGTCCTTCGCTCTTCTTCACTTAAGCCCGGGAGCACAGCTTTTTCAAAACAATCTATGACAGTTCTCCGAATCCTTTGAGCGTCTTCGACTTCCTGTATGACACATGATTCATTCTATTTGAGAAATCGAAAACTTAGCAGCTCAAGAAGAGAACCTTCTTGCAATTGGAAAGATGTTACTATATATAATCAGAAAAGGTCTATAAAGGCAGAGAAGTCTACCTTCAAAAAGTGACAATGTTCCAAGACACCTGAAGTGTTAAAAGTATTTACTTGAGCTCCTACTGCTACAACCAAATAGTCATATTCTAGGGCAAAATCATTCTCTCCAACCAAATTTTCCACAAGAGAATGGCAAAGGACTTTATGGTTTTCAGGATCAATCTTGAGACATTCTGCTTCCCAAAATTGTATTTCTCCACTTCTCTGTCAGACAAATCAAGAATAAAAAAAATACATTTGTATCAATCAAGTACAACACTAAATGATCCAGTCAGGGGCGGAGCTAGGTGGGCAAAAGGGGGTTCAGCCGAACCCTCTTCGCCCGAATATTATAATGTGTATATAAGGTTGTGTACTCATATTAGATGTTGAATTCCCTTAGTTTCTTTGCGTGTTTACTTTTTTTTATTTTTCGGAATCCCCTTAGTGAAAATCTTGTTTTGCCACTGGATCCAGTTATACACTCTATTTACACCAAACTACATTGCTTTATCATATTTAAGTGATACATTGTTATGAGAATACATATAATTCACCATGGTTAACTGATAAAAGTATATGTTAAACATACATGTTATGTATTTATCTGCTTAGTGCAAACATTGGCTCCAAGTTTTTCTATGATCACACTCGAAACAAGTTGTAATGAGAACTCATTTTACCTTCTTTATAATGTTTCTCACTGGCTCAACAACGCTCCGTGCCTCGACTGTTCCACAAGTGACACTAGGTAACAATGGAGTAAACGCAAAGTAGTTACGCGGAGAAACCACTTCAATATCATAGGAAGAAATATCCATATCCTTTAGGAAACTAGTACCAGCCCATCCTGTTCCAAGTACCACTATTTTCTTCTTCCCTGAATCTGATCGACTCTTTTGGACAACTTTTTCGTTGCTGTCTACATTACATTCTGCATATACTATGAGACCTCCGCTACTGTTAAGATTATACAAAAGAAAAGCGATCAGTCTCTAAAAAATATTACATGCATACTAATAGATTGAACACTTAGAACAAAAGGGCCAACCATAAGCCCGAAGTTGACATTTTCAAGGCAAATTAAGAAAGAGGTAAAAAAGTATTGATGGAATTCCAGGAGTCCAAAAGCAAAAACAAAACGAAAGAGAGATTAAAAAAATGCAATTCAGAAACGTTGTAATTCAGTCACACATAATTGGATTAAGAACAATGCTTTGTATTACACAGGGCAAGATCAATTTTAGTCCACAGCCGAAACTAATTATATCCCATAACCACAAAAGTGTATAAAATTTGTATATTTTTGTATATAACATACAGAAATATATATATATATATATATATAAAATATTTTTTCGGCTATTATTTCCAGAGGACTATACAGTGTCATTTTCTGTATTACTACATAAGAAAGAATGAGAAACTGTTAATAATTTGCAAACATGACCAAAAATCGACCATAATCAAAGGGATCAAACATAATAAACCTGATACAGGAGGCAACCAAAAGTCTGGAATAAGAAGAGCGGATATGGAGAGCTCTTTTCAAATATGAGAAACCTCTCATCTTCTTTAATTGTTCCTCTTCTTAATTTGCATTTCTATTACATTATGATCTGATTAAAGGATATGGAAGAAGTGAGACTTGAAGATACAGAGAGTGTCAAAGCAGGGAAGTGTTGGACGTGGCAGCTTCACTTTGTCCAGCATGGCATTTGGGAAGCGGCTTACTCGAGTCAACACCGGACTAACAGATCTTAAAAACGTTAATTAAGACAGTGTAACGCCACTTGTAACTTCCTAGCTCTGTCTAAACTCTAAACTCCTATTCACCATTTTAATATTTTTCTTTTTGTTCAGCCAAAAGGTATAAATAAATTCATATATTTTCTTGGTTATCAATTCAAATTTAGTGTCAAAAAAAAATTAGTGGTTTAATTATATAAAAGATTATTTAAAAGTTGATATTCGGCTTAAAGTATGTATATTTATACGCATATTGCCTCGCATTTTACTCATTTTCCGTAGATTTCGGATGTGTAATGTAATAATTTGTGCTAATTTGTGATATTTTTATGTGTAGGAGTCATCCGGAGGTAATGTGGGACGAAAGTGCACGATTTGAAACAAAAAGGAACAAAACGAAAAAATGGTCCAGTGTAGCGCCCTAGGTAGTGCATCGCGCAACCCGTGGCGTAGTTTACAGATCCGAAAATGTTGGCCAACAGGCCAGCGTCAGGGCTAGCGCGTCGCGCTACCCTGGACGCTAGGTGACGGGAAACTCTCCTACTTCGCTTGGGACAAGGTTTTACGGCCCTACACACCGCCAACTCGTATAAAAAGAAGTCTAAACCTATTTTGGAGGGGAGAGAACGTTTTTGAGAGGAACTTTTGATGAAGGGAAAGCACGAAGCTGCCGTGGAGACCGAAATTCATCAGATTCCATCTTTCTTCCTCTGAACTTAGTAATTATTATGTTTCTTTGTATGATTTGTTGTGTAGTTACCATGTCTATGTGGAGCTAAACTTCATGTTCTAGGGTTGTGGTTCTTTCATGACCATTGTTATTCGAATATTGATTTTGATTTCTTAGTTTATCGTATTGATTTATTTATTCAATCATGCGCTTAATTATTTGATTGCTTGATTACCAATTGAATACTATCTACGAATCTAGAATTGAACTCGAANGGGAATTATAAATGCATTCTTATTGATTTTAACTCTATAGACATATGGGTATTGCGTTAGCTTGAATAGGTAAGTAAGAACTCGATAGATTCTTATGAGCAATATTAACACTGTTGTCACGACCCAAAATTCGACTAGCCGTGATGGCACCTAACCTAACCCGCTAGGTAAGCCAAATAACAACAATACGATTTAATTAATATTTAACTGACTCTAATACACTCCCCAAGGACTGGTAGTACAAATTATGAGTTTCTAAGATTAAAATTTTAAAAACTGGTATGAAATAAATACACCATCTGTTCAAAATATACATAAACAGATTCTTATAAATCTAAGGCTACCATGAACAAGAGGCAGCTACAACCGGAATGCAGATACGTCTTCAATTCCAGCTCCCGTCGAGTACAGCAATATCAACATCCAATATCTACACGCAAGGTGCAGAAGTGTAGTATGAGTACAACCGACCCCATGTACTCAATAAGTAACAAATCTAACCTTAGGTTGAAAGTAGTGACGAGCTTGTACCAAGGTCAGGGTCCAGCTCCAATAACCAACAACAGTTCATAATAACATAAATCAAGTAATAAAAGAAGTAACTCAAAGAATAAATGCTCAGCTAAATTATGATTTCTGCAAATAATTCTGCCTTTCCAGTATATCAGTAAAAATCCAAATCGTTTACCGAAGTTGCCAAAAATAGGAGTAAGTTTGAAAATAGTAATTTTTCCCAAAAATTCTTTCAATAAATAAGATGTTTCATTTTCTTTCCAGATAGCCAGTGTAAAACCAATGCATCACTATGCCAATATGCCAACATGTGTGAGAAGTCATGAATGACTTGATATGGTACAGCATGAGGAAAATACATCTCTATGCATGTATGTCATGTGTGCATGTCAATGCAATATATCTCAGAGATGAACTCATGTATTCACACTCTCAGAGTACTCAGTCTCACTTTCTCACACATTCCACTCATCATGCTCAATCACTCGGTACTGTATATGGCCAATCCGACCCAGGAAAGATCCGTCCCGGAATATATATATCAACTGATTATCAGTCACTCAGTACCAAGGAGGGCAGATCCAGGTATAAAGTGCTTCGAACAAGATCCATGTCCAGGGAAGATCCATCCCTCAATAATAACAACCGCGCTCACTGGGGTGTGTACAGACTCCGGAGGGGCTCCTTCAGCCAAAGCACTATAAACCGCACGGACAACTCACGTGCTATATAAAGCCTATAAGGCCTACTGCAGGCGGGAAAACCCCGATCACATAATAATAATAATAATAATAATAATAATAATAATAATAATAATAATAATAATAATAATAATAATAATAATAATAATAATAATAATAATAATAAATAAAGCCAACATGGCCTGCTGCGGCGTGCAGTCCGATCCCAAAAATATTCTCACAGTCAGACCCTCGGCCTCCCTCAGTCATCAATCTTTCCTGTCTCTCTCTCATGGGCTCACAATGTCATGAAAATAGCCCGAAAATGATAATATGATGTATCAATAAATAACAACAGAGACTGAGATATGATATGCAATGAAATGAATATGACTGAGTATAAATTTTCAATTTAAAACAAATAATTCACAGCAATATGACCTCTGTGAGTCCCAATAATACTGGCACATACCCTCAACATTATTTTTAATATGATTCTTAGCTAAATTTCTCCAACATATAAAACTGCATAGAAAATGCCAAGATTATTTGACTACAAAATTCTACGGAAACAATTACGTCACAATTTCTATGGTGCACGCCCACACGCCCGTCAGCTAGCATGTGTGTCGCCTTCAAACAATTCACATAATACGTATATTCAGGGTTCATACCCTCAGCTTCAAGATTAGAAGAGTTACTTACCTCAAACAAGCCGAATCCAATGTCGAGCAAGCTAAACAATGCTCCAGAAATTTCATTCTGCGCGTATCAACTTGCTCGAATCTAGTCACAATTAATTTGATTCAGTCAACACAAATTATAAGAATTTATTCCATATCAAAATACTAATTTTTTTACAAAATCTGAAATTACACTCAAAAATTGCTTGTGGGGCCCATGTCTCGGAACCCGACAAAAGTTATAAAATATGAACGCCCCTTCAACTACGAGTCCAACCATACAAATTTTACTCAAATCTGACATCAACTCGACCCTCAAATCTTTAAATTAAACTAAGAGGGTTTTCACAATTTTCCAACTTAATTAACCAATTAACTGTTAATAACAACCATGGATTCGAGTAATTTGACCAATATTGAGTTAAGAACACTTGCCCCATTATTTTTCGATCCCGATATCAAAAAGTCAACTCCCCGGTCAAACTTCTCAAAAATTTAACTTTCGCCATTTCAAGCCTAATTCCACTACGGACCTTCAAATAATTTTTCGGGCATGCTCCTAAGCACAAAATCACCATACAGAGCTATTGGAATAATCATAATTCAAATCCGAGGTCGTTTACACATAAACCAACATTCGGCCAATTTTTCCAACTTAAACTTTCCATTGTGAGACTAAGTGTCTCAATTCATTCCGAAATTCTTCCGGACCCGAACTAACTAATCTGATAGGTCATAATATAGCTATAAAGCAAAAATAGAGCAGTAAATAGGGAAACGAAGCTGTAATACTCACAACGACCGGTCGGGTCGTTACATTCTCCCCCACTTAAACATACGTTCATCCTCGAACGTGCCAAGAGTTGTTTTTAAGCCATCAAATCACTATTCCATCTTACCACACACGTACTCGGGGGTGGTCCCACATCACCCTATTATGTATAGGCCTGACAACACAACATAAATGAAAATTATTGATTTAGCCTTAGCCAAAAACCTTGGAATTCAATTTTTCAACATTCAGAATTTTCTTACAAGACTCGAATCTCACAGTTACACACTGTATAAGTCTGAACAAGCTGCATCGAACCATATCTATAACCACGGATATAATCACCTAACATATTACACAACTCGCATGCTCGTAGCACCATTCCTAATCACAGTAACTACTCCAACTAACCCGGTACTGGTATAAAACCCCATATCAAATAAAACCTCATTCCAAAACCTTCGTACACTATTGATAATAAAAGAAACACACAGAATCTTGTAACCCCTTATCAGATCAATAAGTCATGGAGCTCTATCGCCCCAACCAGAACCATAATCCCTTTCTTAGACGACTTTCAATGTCATCTTCCCAAATATACCGTAATCAAACCTGATAGTACTCATTCTGGGTCCAATGACCTTATATTATTAAACACAACTATCACACAGACATGCCACATAAATATAACTCAGAGACACAACCCGTGCCATCCGTACACCAATACGCAACCGATCATGCAATACCCAAATACTCATCTCGCTCGAATTCCGCCATGAGGCCCCCAATAGAACCGCACCATGTGTACATATAACCAAGCTATCAGAACTGAATCTCTCTAACTCAACCCAGCCACGCAGGTCGCCAAAACCCAAGAGCATTGCCACGAAACACCTGTGGAGACTAGCCACATCATAAGTACCCAAAGAATTGATTTTATCCATTACTATGCTGATCCAACCTACTACCAAGTTGTCTTATTTCTCCAAGTCCTTTCAAAATTGCCTTCAAATTGATACTTCTCCTTGCTAGAATACCACGATCCTTAAACAAAATTCACCACATGAGAGACCCTAATATAAAATCACAACGCCCTAAGGCCCATAAGCCGCTGACTTCCCTCTTAAGCACCCCAAAGTACCATAACCGAGACATCCACTCTAAAGAGACCTTATGTGAACCTAAAACTGTTTCATTCACCTTCTTGATACTGAAACGCATAATCCCACAATGCTATTAAAACAAATGCCACAAGTCTCGA